TTTTTTTTTTTTTTTTTTTTTTTTTTTTTGCTGGAATCTTATCTCGGAGCATACTCGCACCAAGGAGTTTGCTCAATGTAAAACAATCAATGTGGCTGCAACAGTGGCCGTGAGCAGTTAGTAGAAGCCTAGAAAAGGCTTGCAGGGCATACTCACACAGGGAAAGTGCTACCGGTAGTACCTGTTCGACTGAAGCTGGGGCTGGCTGCTCAATTGCGGCCAGATCCATTCAGGAAGACTGAAGAGGGAACTTCACACTGTGAGGATGCCCTCCGGCCATACTCACACTAGCACTTTTCGAAATGCATCTGACGGTAATCATGTCCAGAGAGCAGTTGAAAAAGTCCTAGTGTGAGTTGAGTATGCCCTCAGTACAGTACATGGACTACTAAAATATACGGACTACAAACATAGACTACCTGTTAACTACGAAAAGCTGGGCACGTGAGCACACACCCATGCATGATAGCAGCTGGGATGTGTCGGTGACATGTCCCATGTCCCCGTCCCTTCAGCCGAGTGCCGATCCCCAACGTGTCCCGGTCCCTACAGCTGGGCCATGCATGACTCACGACCAATTGCTACCTCGCCGGTCTCCAACGGAGCGTGGCTTGTTCGTCCCCTTGGCAATGGTAGCTGTCTGTCGATCTGATTCCTAACAGGGCAGCAGAAGTTTTCCCGCCATTTTTTGCTGAATCACTTACTTACTGGCGATCCGATCGCAAGGACGCGCCCCGCAGAATTGCTGAATCACTTACTTAACGGCGATCCGATCGCAAGGGCGCGCCCAGCAGAAGGTTTCCCGCCATTGCTGAATCACTTACTTAACGCCGATCCGATCGCAAGGGCGCGCCCAACGTCTTATCTCCCCCATTGATGATAGTGCAGCAGAGCATATCATCGCCATCCCACCGTTGGCTAAAATAAAGAACATAGCTTAAAAAAAAAAAAAAACATAAAAATAAAAGCCGTCGAACTGATTCGTATCTGGGAAGCAGAGGGTTTCCCGCCATGCTTGCGAACCATGACACAGGGATCCCACGGGATCGCTCCACGTCGCGATCCCTTTTGCCGACCCATGCCTTAAATATGCTCCATGCTACCTCTGCGACCTACCGTGCAGCGAAGCAATGTTTCCCTGTCCCGGCTGGCTGCTTAGCCGGCATCAAACTGATTCATACGTAGCAGGGCTGCCAAAGGCTTCTCCACACGGCTGCACTGCGATCCCAAGAGATCGCATCACGTTCTGTGGCAAGGTCCCACTAAGTCTTGCGCAAATGAGGAGATTTCGGCCGTTGATCTTTGCTATCTACGGTCAGTTCTCTCTTAATTCGTGCAAGTGGGACCTAGCCCCTGGTCCCTTCTGATTGCCTTACACGCATGCTATCGCTGCGACTGTGCCACGGAGCATAGCATCCCCTTTGGCAAACCATTGTCAAAACTGATGCGTAAAAGTGCTGCCCAAGCCTCCCCCTCCCCCTCCCCCCCCCACCGTTGCCGCACCCCACTTTACGGCAATCCCGAGGGATCGCTCCCTGTCCCGGTCCCATTCCCCTCGGCCGACCCATTGACTACACCTCGTGCTATCTTTTCGACTCTGATGCGGAGCATAGCTTCTCTGCCCCCCCCCCCCCCCCCCCCCCCCCCCCCCCCCCCCCCCCCCCCCCCCCGCGTGTGTGCTCCGCTTGACGGCCATCCCTACTACTAGAGATTGTTCCACATCTCAATCCCGCTCCCCTCTGCCGACCCATTGTCTAACTAATTTGTCTTATGCCTCGTGCTACCTTTTCGACTGTGCCGTGGCGCATAGCTTCTCTGCCCCCCCCCCCCCCCCGTTGGCCAGCCGCCGTCTTACCGATTCCTCGAGTCCGCAGAAGGTGTCCCGCCACTGCTGCACTGCTTGTTGCCGGTCCCCAGGGGTGTGACGCACCCCTACGTCCATCAGGCCCATGTCCTCGTTGAAGGTCAGTATCTTGTATGGTCGGAAGTACTCCATCATCCACTCCTTGAACCACATGTCCACAATGTAAGAAGGTGAAATCCGGTGCTTGGACGACATCGAGTACCAATCATAGAAGTACTCATTAAGGAACCCTTCGGCATCAGGCCCGCGAATGTTGGGCAGCTGATTAGCCTTCTGCAGCAGATCTTGGTAGGTCTCTGCCCATGGTCGGATCACCAAAACCCTCGACGAGAATTGATCGGGGGGAAACACAGCAGGGCCGGCCGCGAATGGCTGATAATCAAAGAGCGAATTCACGTTCTCCACGAATAGGGACATGGGATTGACGTACACCACCTTCGCCCAGTCCGTGAGATTCCAAAGATGGAGTACATTGAATTCCTCACCCAGAGTCACGATGCCACTGTCGCCTATCTTCTCCTTCCCTCCCTCGTCTTTTCTCATCGATTGTTCCGGTTGTTGCGACGAGGTGTTTCCTTGGGGGGGTAGTAGACCTACTTCCTTGGCACCAGCGCTCATGATGTTCTTGCCTGATAACTCCTCCTCCTCCCCGCCGCCTTTATTTGTATTACCCTTGGACTCTACTAGGTTGCTTTCTTGAAGCTGGTTCAACCGCCGCCTACCACCGAGGCGTACCTGGAGCTGGAGGGGGGGGACCACTTGAACTCGGTCAAATAAGGGGACTAAAGGGTCCCAGAGGTCCTTTCGAAGGCTCGAGGGCACCATCAGCATAATGCATCTGGAATAATTCGATGCGTGGTGTTTACGATAGGACGCAGCCCAAACGGCAGCAGCGGCCACAGTCCTCTCAGAAACGAGAGTAACGAGCACCTCGTCTTTAGGGTCAGTCCACAAAGGAATTCGACTCCGGACGGGGGAATGCCGGGGCCGGGGGAGGGGGGAAAAGGATGGAGGAAGGGACGTAGGAGCTGAAGAAGCGGCGGCGGCGGCGGCGGCGGCGGCGGCGGCGGGGAGTGTAGGTGGTGGTGGTTGAAAATGGCCTCCTGCCGCTTTAATTGCATCATAGGCAGGGTACCATTCAGGGTGAGGGAGGAAACGTACTGGGGAGACCGGTTCTGGCGGGTCAATCGGAGCCCATGAGTTCTGTTGCAGATCTCCTGCCAATCCGCGCCAAGCTGTGCACCAGACGTTCCCACAGGTCGACATCTTCATGCTCCATGGTTTGTACCATGGATTAGCGAAGTGAATCACTCTGATCGGCCCCCCCCTTCGTTCTGAATCTCCTCCTCCTCCTCCTCCTCCTCCTCCTGACGATGATGATGGCGATGATGATGACGAGGATGATGACGATGATGATGGCGATGAGAAATCCCTGTCCACGTACAGCACCTCGTCGGCCCGATTCGCATCGAACCATTGCGGTGAATGGTAATGCCTTGGGAAGTTTACGATGGTGTTAAAGCGGAAATGCAGCCTATGCTCGCTCGGCATATCGTACCACCCGTCGAAGTAAGAGTTAAAAAATCCCTGATCGCCTTTATTATACGATGGCAACCTTGAGGTCGCCGCCACCAAGTCGGCGTACATGGCTTTTGACGGCTTCAGGACCATCAATCCGCTGTTAAATCGATTGCCTATGTAGAGGTCGGGCACCGCCGCCGGCTCTGGTCGATCGAAGAGCTCATCCAGGTTGTCCAACACTAGCATATCGACGTCGAGGAAGACCATCTTGGAGTACTCTGTGAACAGCCATGCATTGATCTTGTCGAACCCTACAATCCCATGAGGGTTTTCGATTTTGTTCACGACCCTCACGACATCGTAATGAGCAAACAACGCCTTGACCATCCTCGTGGTCTCATCGTCGTCCGTTTCTGGTCTATACACTGCCCGCGCCGCCATCTCCCCTTCCTCCGTGCCATTCCTCGCCCTCCTCTCCTTCTCCTGGTATGTCTCCACAATGGGTTTCAAATCGCCCTGCGCACTGCTGACCATCAACACGAGATGGTGGGCAGTTCCCGTGCTGCGTAAGGACTGCGCGAGCACCAGCGCTGTCCTAATGAGCGACACGGAGCTGACCAAGGTGGCGTACGCGTACGTGTGACGCTTGACCACGACATGTTCCCCGACCACTCGCCGCACTTGCAATCGCGTCCCCGCATGTGTCTCACAATTAACCAAGAAGGAGTGCTTGTCGCACAGCGCCTCTTGCTCCACCTGTGGGACAACCGTCGCGTAGTTGTAGCGCAAGGGCATGCCGCCCCAGAGCCGCACGAACTCCGCGATACAGTCGGCCCGCGCCACCTGATGACCCTTCTTGCTCGACACCGCTCCGTTGATCAGGTGCTGCTGCTGGGAGTTGCGCGCGTCGCCCCAATCTCTCGTCTTGCCCTGGAGAAGGAGGGGTGCCACGTGGCTGAGGTTGGAAACGAGGAAGTTCATCGCTATGTCCTCGCAATTGGACCCCTTCTCGACGTACTCCCGCACCCCCGGCGCATTGTGGCAGGTGTACATGTACAGGTACTCCGTGGACAACACCATGAACTTGGTGAGCATCATGGAGTAGAACTCCCGCGAGTACATGTACTTCCAGACACGCCTGTCGGTGTCGAGCCAATGGGCTCTCGGGAAAAACCCGACGATGCGAGCACGATGCTCACGCCATACTGTCAGCGCAAAGGCTAGACTCTCCACCTTCTCCAATCCGATGTCGTCGTCAGCAATGACAACAGCCGCCGTCGTTATGAATTCCCGGGGAAGAAAGCGGTCATTGAAACTCAGCGAATTCTGCTGAATGACGCGGATGGGCGCCCCATCGGTGCGGAATTCGCGGTCTTGCGGAGCTGCCGTGTCATTGAACCAGAGAACGAAGATGGCAATCACAACTGGGCTCCTGGAAAACATCAGCAAATTCTCGCGCAGAAGAGGTAGCCGTGACTCCAGGCGACTACTCACGAGAATCGTCACTTTGTCATCTCGCAGATCAGATACGGCACGATAACGACGTCGATCACATACGCCATTCTGAGAAGAGGCATTCACTCTTACCGCCACTTTCCCCTCCGCCAGCTCTTTCGCCTCCACCGCCTCCTTGGCCTTCACGTCGTCGTTCCCTCTTTGCAGCTGCTGCGGAGTCTGCGGAGTCTGCGGAGTCGTACTCTTAAGGCCAGGAGAAGCGCTGATATCGACGGGCGACACATGGGTGGCCACAGTCATCATACGTTGATGGAGATTGGCAGCCTTCGCCTTAATCATCCGTTCGGAGGCGGAGGAGTGGGAAGGGGTAGCATCACCCAGTATACGTGAACGCGCATTTCGCGTGTAGACAGTGGCAAGCCAGCAGGACCAGAACACACCGAGGACGAGAAAGAACACCCAGATCAAACGGGGGATGGATCTGACAGATTGAAGACGGCCCCTCACTACGGGGCCATGTTTCCGATACCAAGTATCCATACTGTGGACAACGGAATAGCCGGGGGCACGGGGGCAGGGGCGGAGGTGGGGGGCGAAGTAGGGGGAGAAGAACGAAACGAAACGAAAGCTCCGTCCTCACTCCCTCCTCACCCTTCTGGCAAATAACAAGATGGATCGTCCGCCCCTACCGTAGGTCTCCTTCTCTCAACTCGAGCCTCCCTACTGAGGCTCGCCAGCTAAGTTCAGTTTATGGTATGGTAGTAGCTGTGCATCCACCTACTTCGGTCTGATCACAGCTCTCTCTCTCTCTCTCTCTCTCTCTCTCTCTCTCTCTCTCTCTCTCTCTCTCTCTCTCTCTCTCTCTCTCTCTCTC